TTTCCTACTCCATTTCTCCATCTTCCTCTAGTATAGAGGAAGATAACTAGTAACTAGTATATCTAGTTATTGTCTTACAGGACGTTTTGCAGTCCTTTGCATGAAAATTGCTGCAAAACAACACATTTATTTTACCATACAGGAAGAGTGGAAGACTTCAGAAATTAAGAGCAGCACTTTCTGCTTTAGTTGCCCATGGCTGAATAGGTAAATTAAACTTAATTAAAAAAACTAAAAACAAACAAACTAAAACCATCCCACAAATGAGATTTTCAGTAGTGCTTATAATATAGTATCATGATTGCTTACATTATTCTTTGAAGAGGGCACTTGGATGGAAAGTGCCAGAAAACAACAAAAAAACCTACATCAAGTCTGGCTAAAGATGCCAGCATCTGTTTGTGCATCCTTGTTCAGATGAGTAAGACATCCCAGGGGGGAAGAAGGCAGATCAGAGTCCTGGTTCTTATTGCTAGACCCTGAGCTGCCTGTGAGTGCCATCAAGCTGCAGTACTCACACATGTGGCAGGAAAGTATGTGGAGGTCATGGACAAGTAACTCCCAGTGAAATTTAAGGTGGTCATTTATACAGTTAACATGGAATTCCAAAGTACCTGAAATACTGTGTGATCAAGTGCTCACAGCACCCCCACAGCCACTGTGACTGGAGGCATTGGGAACAGCAGTTCTCCCATTTATCTACATGTTAAGGAACAGAATAACTCAAGCAGAGAGATTAAATAATCCATTTCACCTGTAAAGTCCAGCTGCTGTCAGGGCCACTGCTACTGGTGAGGATTTCCCTCTCTGGCTGTAGGCACAGGTGTTGCAGGGTGGGAGACATCTGAGAGTCTTGCCTGTTTCAGCAAGACACATGTGAAGAGAAAGACTCCGTCAAGCTGTGGTTTTGTTTAGACTTCCACCTGGAGCTATAATTTAAGCATGCTTTAAGTGGTGCCCTTCCCATTAGCTCTTCTAAAGCACAGGCACATCAGTCCTACTTCTGAACCACACATCTCTACACAAAGGATTTATGTGACTGCCAAACCACAGGGCACCAGCAAATATTTTTGTACTCATGAAGCTTCACCAACAGGAGTGCACTGCATCTGTTAATTGCCCAGGAGAAGGTATCCAACTGGTCTGTGTTCTTGAAAGCTTACCCTTCCACACTTCTTTTTTTTTTTTTAATACAGCTAAATATTGCAAACTGCATTTTAAGCCTAAACACAGTCTTTCATTCTCAACCTCTGTGCTTATGCATTTTATTGAATTTTTGAAGATTGGATTCATTTTCAGCATTTGATTTGTTGCAGTGACTTTGGGCTGGTGCCCAACTTAACCATGGCTGCTACTCTTGGATGATGGCCTGACCATTAATTATTTCCTTGCTGAAACTGCATTACCACAAAATACATTTTGTCATAATGACATTAAGTAAAGGCCACAGAAACCTGTCCAGCATTAGAAATTTCTTCTTGGAAGCTTTTTTATGATTTTTCGTCACATTATCTAAATCAAGGATGAGATATCATTTAATATTTTACCAGCTTATGAAAAAACAAGCCTTTTATTTTCCTTGCTGTAAATATAACAACATCAGCATTGAAGTAATTATCAAATCATAGACATTATCCTGCAATCTTTATAAATTCAATCCCCCAAATAAGACAACACATTTAAGCACAAAAAGATTGAATCATGTCAGGTTAAGTTTGTTACCATCTTTAGTTTACAGGCTATAACAATTCTTACTTCATAAGACAAGTCTCAGTATGTAAAAAGGGTTTGATAAAATACTTATTACTCATTCTTACAAATATGGAAATATTTAGCCACAAAATTAAAAAGTAAACTATTTAGGACTCTAATGAAAGACCTTGAGGTGAAAGGAAGAGCAAGAGCAAAATATGTATAATTGAGAATGAGCACCCCATAGATTCACTGTTAGCACAACTGAAGTGCCAACAATATGTATTTTGGTTACTTGTATCAAAATTCTGCAATTATCCTAATATACAGTAATGTCATTGCCCTTGAAAATACTGCTTTCCTCTGATAATTTAAGAAGCAGATCAATTATAAATCATGTGGTTTGGTCTTGCTGTTGGTGATGTCACTCTGTTGCTGAAAGACATAAAAATTATTAATTCTTTTGCACTTCTACCATTCCCAGTCTGCTCCATCAGAGCAGCCCATTACCCTTTACGTTAGATTCATGTGGAAAATAAACCACAAATTTTTTTCCAGTAGAATACTTTTTAAGAAATATCTGCAGAGGCGATTTACCACTGAGAATATAAACAGAGTTGGAGAGATTCAGCTATCTTTTGCTGCATTAATCCAATTCCATTTTAGCTAACAGCAGCCTGATGTTCATTATCCTTCCAGAAGGTAATCCTTGCTTGCCAAATATATGCTTTTCCAGTAGCTATTATGCTTCTAAGTATTTTCTCATTGTTTTCTGCTGCACAGTGTATTTTTAAGGAATAATATTTTTTGTAACTTCATCATTGGTCTGAAACATCTCACTACAATTTAATTATGAAGAATAAACACAGTACCAGGTTAATACACTTAGAGCAAATGTCTTTGGCTACTTTGGATTTTTTTTTTTCCTCACTTACAGACCAGGAAATTCAGTGAGTTTTATAGATTAGAGCTCAAAAAGGCCATCACAATGGGTAATAGAATAAGTCTGACATTTTTGCATTCTTGTTTTAAATAGGGATTTTATTACCTGCTCCAGCACAATCTACAGCGTTTTTCCTTTCCTTTGCCCATGTGGGCTTGAGTGGCAATCTTGAATTTTAGTTTCATTCCAGAGCAGAGACTGTTTTGCACATGGTTTTGTGCAGCAAATATAACTCAGCTGCCAGGTTTGAGATTTTCAAGCATGGAGAACATCCTGGTATAAAACCTGCAGCCAGAGCTTTGTTGTGCTTGCTGCTGTGCAGAGAGAGAAGATCATAAACTTACAACATAAGCAAAGGGATCAAAGTTCAAAGTGTAAAATAGCAAGTATGGAGTAAAGGAGAAAGGAAGGTATTCAATTGTCACACCAGACACACCAGTTCCCTTTCATCAGCTTGCATCATCAATCCAAAAATGTCCTGCAGAAGATTGTCACTAGTATTTTTGTGATGTCCAAAGGAAAAATATTCACAAAACTGTACCCCTCAAAGCCCAACCCATCCCTCAAGGGGTTGTGCTTGTTACAAAATCACTTCAAACAGAATTGATTAGCTTCATGTGCGTAGCCCTGGGAAAGAATATATACTGTTGTTTGGCCTTATAATGACACCAACTACCTGGAGTTACAAATGTTCCCATTTCAAGCAGCAAATTCATTAATTTCATGGTGGCAAAAACATGGCTCTAACAGGGCAGAGAATACGGATGCTCACAGCATCACAGCTGTTTTCCCCAACTGTTGCTCTTGTGTAATGAGTTATCAAAATATTTTTACCTGGTTCCCATTATTATGTGCTTCTTGGGCCCCCTCCAAAATAACCATTACTGTCTATCTGATTCTAATTTTTTTAATAGGAGCTCTTTTTCTCTAAATTTTGTTGGACTTTAGGAATAAAGTAGCATGGAAATATACGAGTACATAAACAAGAGCCTGTCTTGATCCCTTCATCCAAATTACATCACGAGGCTAGCCTGTGGAAAGAGCTAATGATCCAATCAGCATAAGAACACATTACAAATTTGAAATCTAATACATTATCTCTAGATGCAGATTTATTATGCAATTATACATCTGAAGAAGTTGAATATTTTTATATGATTGATTTTTCAGTTGCTGTAGTGTCTAGCAATGATCCCTTTAGCATTTAAGTTCCTAGTTGCATTCCACAGAAAAGGTTTTGAATGAATGTTGCTTGACAGAGAGGTCTTCATTGACAAAAGCAGGAAGATAGCAATGAGGGGGAAAAAAAGGATGCTACAAATAGGTACAGAGGGACTGCAAGCCCCTGGGGTCCTCCTGGAAACTCTCTGCATTCTTTGCTTGCATGATGTTGGCAAGTTGCTTTCATGCAGTTCATGAGCTAATGTAATCTCTATGATGTGTGCTCCCAAGCAGTTCAGCAGAAATGCAAACTGAAGTGGCAATAAGCAATGAATCAACAACCCCTTGCTGAAATGACAGTAAGCAATGAATTAACAGCCTGTTAGGGCATCCTTGAATCTGTGACTCCTGTGTCAGAGGGATTCCCGCCCTGCAAGTGAAACATCAGTCTGCTACCATTGCCAATATAATCAGAATTAGGAAGTAGCCAATACAGAGTGACTGTATTTATATACGTCATATACTTGTTTGTGCTGTGTTGTGCACTGCTCAGTCCCAAGAGCCCTAAAACGATATATATCCACATATATATATATATATATATATACACACACACTTCCTGTGGAACAATAAAATCTACAAGTATTTGCCCCAGCATTTATTACAAGTTGCATCTGGAGGAAAGGGCTTCTGTCAGGGATGCTTGGAAACACATTTTAAGCTTGTGGTTTCAAACAAATCTCAGCAGAAATGTAAAACTTGAGCAAGTTGTACTCTCTGCTTCTCATGACATTCCCTTTCTCTCAGTGCTTGATTTTAAGGAGAATATGGTAGCAAAAGCCCACCAAATTTACTTTAAGCTCAGTCAAAATTAGGTAACTCCTGGGCAGGCAGCTGTAGCTCTGCACATTTGCATGTGAGCCCAACAGCCAGACAGGAGCATCCACACACTCCGTCTTCTCTCTGCTCTGGGCTAGGAGAAGAAACACCTGTAGTTGTCTTTGAAGGTACCAGAGGTGCCGTGTGATCCACACACCTTTGCTGTGCTGCTTTTTGAGATTTCCTGTCAAACTGACACAGCACAAGACAAGACATGGTCTGTTACCATTAAAGTGGCTGGTTCCACTTCTATATAGAAATATGAGTTATGAACCCTTTTTGCTATTTGTGAAATTGGGAAACAAAGACATATGACAAAACGGGCTGATGGAATAATCATTTTGTCTTTATTTTCTCATCCATTTTCTAAACAGTGTTATTTCAAAAAATCAGAAATGAAGTCATGGTCAAAACCACACACAGAATAACTTAAATAAACATTTTTCTTTTCAAGATGATTGAAGTATAGGATAAATAAAATATATTATTTTGGACATTCTCCATAAACAGCTCATATCCAATAGTTTCTCCATTAAGTATTCAGAAAATCAATATTTATTACTTAAACCACTCTGTCACTGACTGCATCTTTAGAGGAACAAGTTGGCTGGAAAAAATGAGGTGTCACTGAAAATAAACCTATAGAAGTTATGTTTCTTAATGTTTATGCATCCTTAATTCTCTCTTCTCTCTTGAACTCAACCTACAGCAAACTGGCTTTATCTGATTGGGAGTGGAAGCTGCTGGTGCCATTGCTTAGCTTGGCTCAGCTAAGCAGTGCTCCTTGGACCAAGCAGCAATGGGAAACAGTAGGGATCATCCACAAAGCCAACACTGAGGCTAAGCTCCTGAGAAACCATCCTCAGCAGAGTTGCTCCTTGTTCCTATAGGGGAATGTATTGACTCCATTCAGCCCAGAGATAGCCCAGCATTAGCTTCAATCAGTTAAATCTAACACACACACACTGCTTGCACAAGGGGAGGCTTTTGCTGTATTGAAGATATTAATCTAGGTCAACAGCCCAGAGGCTGTGGTGCCAGTCCCGCACACTGCTTATCACACAATTCCTATAGGTCTGTCTTACTCTGGTGGTTACTGCTCAGACTGACTTGGCACCTAAGGGAGCCCCTGTTCAGCATTGAATGGACCAGAGGAGCAAAATGAAGCTTCAACTCAGAGAACTCACAGCCTACGATAATGTAACAAACAGTGGTCCTGCCCCACAACAAAGTAAGGCTGCCACAGCTGGAGCTGTGTCCTCTCTCCATGCCACAACCCAGCATAACCCAATGTCATAAAATAATATAGCTGGAGCTCATAATATTTAGCATTAACTAGATGGACAAAGAGTAAATCTTAGTTCACTGCATTAGATATTAGCCTTTTGGTTTTAAACACTGAGTTGAAGAACCAGTTTCCTTCTGGTCTTTCTCATCAATACCACTCTTCTACAGAATTATTACAAAACACTGCAACATTCTAATATCTGCTTAAAATAACTGAGCAGCTTTGATGATGGTCTGCTCGATCCTAACCTGAATCTTAATCCAGTCAATCTTTGTATTTTTTTCTTGTCACTTTTCATTGCCAACTCTATTTCACCTCACATCTTGTTTAGTGTCTACTCTGAAACCTCAGTTCCTATAGGAAAGTGATTAAAAGAAAATCTTGTTTCACTTTGCAGTTTCTAGCTCTCATAATTTCACCAAAAGGCTTGAAAACATGAATCATGTCAGCTTAAAGAAAGCAAATAAAAAACTCTAAAGCACTTTTTAAACAAAATTCTTATCACCTTTACAAGAAGATTATAATCTGAAGAGGTGAGGTGGGTGCCTGAGTCACAGAAATTTCTAAGTCCTTGGGGTACAAATGTAGGGATTCCTCTTCACCTTCCTTTTCTTCTTCTGCTTTTCTACTCTTCTATTTGATATGAGGAACAAAGGTGCCCAAATTTCTGGTAGAAATCTTCTTCAGCACGATTCAGAGCTTCCTCATCTATGTAGACAGCCGGTCTCCGGGAAGCCAAAAAGTACTGCACTTTCCTGATGCTCCATCCCATCACGTACCTCAGCCAGCCGCTGACAGCGGCTGTAGACCTGCCAACACCAGCATTGCAGTGAACATAGACTGTGTGTCCGTTCTGCAGCAGCCCGTGCAGGAGGCACACGGCTTGTGGCAACATCTGGATTCTTCCTAAGGTTGAAAACAAGGCATGTTCATTTGCACTGGACAATCAGTTCATGGCTGAGATTCAGCCTGTACAGCCTGATGAATTGTGAAGTATAACGGCAGACCTGACATATTCCAGTTTTTCTTTCTTTTCTCAAATGACTTTCTAGGCTAATTGGATTTTCTTTTTTTTTCCTTGCAATACAGAATCAGATCACACAAAGCTGTAAAATGCCCCAAGTCTTCTTTAAATATACATTCTGATAACGTCAGATGTGTGTGGCATACTCATTTTCAAAGGAACTGAGACAAGGCAGCACGTTATAGAGGACAGCACAACTTACATAGCATTAAAGTTAGCAAGCCAAAAATTATTTTTTTTTCTTTTTAATACCAGAGGTTTGTGAAGATATTTACATACTGCTGATTTCTAAAACATTTTCATGAAGGCCATCAATTCAGTAAGGGAGGGAGGAAGAGCAGAAGAACATTTTACTGTACAACTTAAAACTGTTATGATTTCACTGTCTACTAAGCATACAGTCAAACAATACAGAATAGCCTTTCTCACTCCCAAAGGAATGAACATACTACATTTTTTGACACTTTTCTTCTGGCTATCCTAAGAAACAGAGCTGCAAGAAGCAGAACCCAACTTTTCCTCATGGCACATACGAACACTGACATTAAGCCCATTCAAATCCCTGTTTTAAGGTCTCCTGTCTTCCCTGGTGCCCTGTTGCTGATATGACAGTTACCTGTTTGAGGCAGTGGTATTTCACTGTGTTGAAAGCACTCACTTCTGCTGGCGGGCTGCACACTTGATAACACACTCACTTTCTAACCTTCTGGTTGGAAACAAGACTTTGAACTAGCATTCCAACCAAGGACTTTAAAAGTAGTAGTAATTGATGTTACAGCTCAGGTGCTATGAGTATTTTCAATTAATTGCAAACTATTATGTAAATGTTGCTATGGAGTTTCATCAGACTGGGATACTACAGTTAAAGAAAAAGTGTTTGTTGGGAAGGAAACAGCAGACACATATCACTGTCTCTCAATTTTTAATCAGCAAAGGTGGCAAGCTGTCCTGCTCTGCAAACTTGCAGTCTTCCACCTACACAGCATATTTTCATTATATAGGCCGAACTCAAGCTGAAAGTAAAAATAGTCAAGCAGTTATTGATGTCAGATGGCTTTAAACTCAAACACAAATAATACTGCCAGACACAAAGTACTTCAGAGGGCCTCTCTGCCTACAAGAAAATATGAATAATTTGTTAAAGACATCACACAAAGAAACTACACCTTGTGTTCCAGCTATATTTTCATGCAAAGTGTGCACAGAACTCCTGCCCTCCCCACCAGCTGTCATGAAAGTGACAGATTATTAACTCCAAGTGTTTGCTGCTATTAATTTACTGCAAGAGTGACATGAGCATTACCTTCAGTGCTCATGTCTGCAGTTGGCATCCAGACATAGGCAAGACCTTCTTCCTTATACAGTTTCATGAGGATTTCAGGGCTCATGGGTTCTGGGTAGCGGTTGCAGCCCCAGGAATTTTGAACAATGTCAGATTCAGTCTGGAAGTTCATCACAGCTGTAACACCCAGCTCATGCTTCAGCTTGATGGTCACATGCTCCAGCAGCCGAGGGCAACTTCCCAGCCAGATGTTTGGCAGAATCCTAGCATTGAGGAAACAGTGGGATTGATGACAGTATCTTAAAGAAATTGCTAAGTTCAGCAGTGTTCCTGTTCCAAACCTGCTTGACATCATCACACAAACACTGCTAAAGTACAGTCTTTTCATGTCAGGCAGTAACTTCTTATTTCATTACAACTTGTTTTGTTACAGTTGAGTTGGTGATGCCAGATGCTGGGGATCAAGCTCCTAGACTACCTTGAAGAGCCAGATGTACTGAGAAAAAATTTCAGAGCACAGTTATAGCACAGGTCTCCAATGCATCATTCATCGCTAAGCTTGAAGTAGAAGCTTACTAACATCAGGGATTAAAATAAGAAAATTCTGAAGATTCATGCAATTTGTATACACAGAAAAATGAAACAAAACAAAACAAACCCACAAAAACCCAAACAAACAAACAAACAAACAAAACAAAATCCCCAAAAACAACAACAAAAAACCTAAAGAATTCACATGCTCCACATCTGCATTACTTTAGTAATAAGTCAAACATAAAGAAGTCTTCCAACTCTTTAGCTACCACTATAATGAGGGAAGTAGGGAAAAAAGCATTTTGAACAACCCTTCTGTGATGAAACTTAAAAATTAATGAGTAATTTTCTTTTATTTTTTCTCTGATCTCTTGGAGGCTAGTAGGAATCAAACATATGTACAGCTTCCCTCAAGGCCTGAAGGACCAGAAACTTTTCAGCAAAACAAGAGGTTTTTGTTGGATGGGAAAGTATCAGAAATATGGTTGTTTATTGAAATCAAACTTCAAGACTTCTATGGTTTTCCCATTGCTGATTATCATAAAACTATTGTATACTTCAACAGATGTTGACAATATAAACTGTATATTTAGAAATTTGTTTTCAAATGAGGGGTTTTAATATGCACATGCAATTAAACTTATGGCATCTACAATGGATTATTCAGATGCTCAAATTATTAGTGATCTACTTTAATTTCTTTTTGCTTCCATTAACTTCGAATTTGAATGTGTAATCTACAAACTAAACAAAATATCCCTGCATTTAACACAAAACTTTGCAAAACTTATTAACTGCAACAAATCTGTAGCACTACTAACTACAAACTTAGCAAACACTATTAAATGCAAATCTACAACAAAAGCAAGATCCTCAACAATAAAATGTCTCCCATGTACATCTTATGATCTTTCCCAGTTTTAACCTCAGCAACAAATAAGGAAAAGTTTTATGTTTTTTCAGGAGCCTATAAACCACTCTTAAATCATCAGGTAGCTATTTCCATTTTACTGTCACAGTAATAAGTACTAGCAATTAATTAAGACCTGTAATTGACTGTAATTATTAAATCCTGCTATACTCATACTGCAATAGATTCAAAAATAAAAATTCCGATACAAGAAGAACTAATTATTATTATTTCCTGTTTGTAATTATTGTTATAACAATAATTATTGTTATTACTGTTTCCATGGTGAGTTGCATACTAGCCACACAAACACAGCCTTTGGCCTTACCAGCCCCCATTTCAATGGGACAAAACACTTGATCTCAATATATGGTAACTGAGACCAATTTAAACAAATATATTACATAGCAAATAACCATTTCAACCGTGTTCCAGTGAGATACTTGACAAGATTTGACTTAGTTTTTGTTTCATGTACATGTTCAAGAATTGCCCAAAATCCAACATAATCAGCTCAAGCATTCCCACTGATCAGAGGGATGGGCAAAGATCACTGCAACAACTCCTTCACTATCCCTTCCCACATGCCAGCCTCACAGCAACCCCCATCCTAACCTGAGCGAGTGACTGCTGTCAGGATTCTGCCACAGGAACCTGCCGGGATGATTAGGGCATTTCAAGGTGCTGAGTGTGAGCTACAGCGCCCTAACAGATGCTGACCAATGGCTGGAGATGAGCAATGGCCACAAAACTCCATTCCCGGGACAGAGAAATGGCAATGTCACTAATAACTTGTGACAATATGAGGATATTATTTCAAGAACAAGAACATTAGTACCCTTCCTTCAAAGGCTTTCCTGGAGACTCATACATATGTAATTCACTTGATACTTTGTGAAACATCTAATGTACTAAAATTACCTTGATGGGAGGAAAAAACATGTGTTTTCTAGGATTTGATTAAATGAAAAGTGACTGAAGCATTCCTGAGATAAATAAAATTCTGAGTAGTACTCTTTCTTACCGATAAACCCATGCTATTTAATTTTTCCCCCAATGATTTTTTAATGGGTGAACATCAGAGCTGTGCTATCTGCAAGACCCCTGGGATATAGACCATTTGTTTATTTTGTCTTGCAGCCTAACAGGTCTTGTACATGACAAGACCACCTGTATTGCACAATACTAATTGCATTTACTGAACAATCTGAAGAGTTCACTAAATTTTTATCACTGTCTTTCCCCACAATTAACTAAACTAGTGGAGCCATTCAGAGAATAACCTAAGAGATGTATTTAAGATAGGCAATTCTTGAGAATTAATTTTATGATCAGGTCCTAAAATTTAGCCTTCGAGAGGATCAAGATGTAGCTTTGACCTTGGTCTACAAGCCTCTTATCTACCCACCTACAAAAAACTGTAATTCTTGGTCTTGCTGGCCAAGGCTTAACCACCCTTTTACCATGCAGCAAACAGTACTGCAGAGCTGTCCTATAAGCCAATTTATGTAAAAGTTCTAGGATACTCTATTTGGCTTTATCTAGTTCAAACCTTATCTTTTTCTGACATCAGAAGGAAGGAATAAAAGGGGTTGGTGCACGTGTGAGTACAGAGACTAATGGAGAGTTTAGCAGCTATATTTTATACATAGATTTTTTTGATAGCCCTACTGAGGGTTTCATTATGCTGAGGATCAGGAAAACATACATGTTGAACCAAGCAAGAATGTGGTAATTTCATTTTTACATCTCTTTCCTTAATGATATACTTTTAGTTTTCCTTTTCAATGTGGCCCTTCTTTAAGTTGCCACTGAATTTCAGTAGGTAGCTATATTTTAGCCACCAGACCATTTGGCATGGAAAAGAGAGCTCTTTTATGTTCCTCTCTAATCTGTCAAGTTATAGTGCTCTGAGCTCCCTGACAGCCACTGCTTTCCAGCTCACCCGTGGGTGTATTCCAGCAGCAGTTTATGTGATCCCTAAGCACATCAAAAAATATTAGGAAATTATTAGTGATCAATAGACCTTTAATCTTTTCAGCTGAACCCCTTTGATGTTCCCAAAATATCAAAAGAGGATGGTGTTTTAGCAAAATTCTACTTGAAACTTTGCTTTAATATAAAAATGGCACTTTGTCAATGTGCATCTTCACTCTGCATCAAGGACAATAAACCATGTTTGGCTCCAGAAGACATGGTCAATTCAGTCAGAGACAGTTTATCAATGAAGAAATCACCTACAGCGATTCAAACATAAACAATATTTAGCAATCTTCTGAGATTAAGACTTGGAGATTGTCTATAAACCCTTGCTTTATAGATACTTTCTGCCAGCTACTTTCAGCTACACTTCAGTTCCCCACCAGCAGTATGGATACAATATTTACCTACCTTAAGGGGACTTTCAGGGGTCCAATGGATGAATTAATGCAAGAAGCTTGAGGTTGTGGCAACAAGGACTAAATGTTAGGCAAATGTTATTCAGTTTATTTTTACAGAGCCCAGACTGAAGGCTGACATATTTAAAACCTGCTTTTTGACTTATAAACTGAGAAAACCAACAATTATTTATCATTACCACTGAGAAAATATGGAACACCCTGCAAACACTTGTACACTTCTTCACAGCACACTTAAATTATTTTTAATGATGTAGACATATATTGTGTTTGTTGGCTTTCTCCCAGGACCCTGCACAGTCTAGATTAAAATATAACAATTCAGAGTGAATACATTTAAAATACCAAATGTATTCCGTTTAATCAATGTGTATGCAAATGTTCTTCCCCATCCCTAGGGAGAAAATGAGTCTGAGACAGTGAAAAATTAGCATTGTGAATTTATTTTTTTTTAATGATGCACACCAATTTTCAGGTTGGTTTACAAAGCATGACACACCATACCTTTCAATCTTAGTACAATAAAACCAGCCCGGCAACTGTAATTGTAGAGATGTGATTTCCAGGGAAGGTGACCTGACCTAGGGGAAGACACCAGGTTACTGCATCAGGCAGTCAGCTCTTCCTCCATGACACCAATATCTACTCTGCTTCTTCAGCAGCTCCAGTTTTGCTTTTGCTAATAATGCTTTGAGACAAACAGATCCTAAATTGAAATTTCCTTAAAATGCTGAGTTGCAAGCTGGGATGACTCAGGTACTGCTTCCAGATCTGAGCAATCATCAGTGTGCTAGGAGAAGGCATCTTAGAATCTACCCTAAAATTAATCAACCCTCTAAGAGGTACAGTTCTTATGGAAAAGGATAGGATTTGGCACTTTAGGAACACATTTCACAAGAATATCTATCAGGTACTGACAGGTGTCCTTTTATCCTGATAGTTGCCAGCTTTAATCAAAAGAGAGGACTTTGCAAAACTAAGGAAAAATAGCAGGATATTTGTCGTTGGTTATTGGCAACAATGATCTATCAATGATTCCATTTGTTTATACCAGTGATATTTTTGACCAAGGTCCAGTCTATTATTTTAAATGAAAAGTGATGGATTGAATCATCCCTCAGTGCCAGGTCAAGGTGTAGCCTGTGTTAAAGCTTGCACTCCACTTCACTTTTCTACACCAGACTTCCTTAGATCTCATTGAGCATCTGATGACAGTGAGATAAGTGCTAAAATACACATATAACAAAACAGAGCCATTTAGCTGAAAAACACAAACAAAATAATGATTAAATTAACTCTGTCCTCCTCAAGACTCTTATATCCTAAAGGTATAGCATGCAACCACAGCTACATAGAACTTGCAGTAAAACATACTCTGCATTCCCAGAAGAGCAACATATATAATTCAGTCAATTTACCC